CTCGGTTCGTACCTCTCTCCCCCCCCCCCCCCGTCTGATCGCTCTCCAACGTTGCAGAGCCACTTCCATTCGGAAGCCTGAGTCTTCCGATTTTCGCCCGCCATTTTTTTTTAAAATGTTGGCGATATGCGCTTGGGCGAAGCTTCGCCCTGGCATTTGTTTTTTTTAAAAAGAAAAGGGCCTTAGTTTAGCGTTTCGGAGGAGTCCGGGACCTCAGGGAGGCTACTTTGCTCTTTAAACTTTAAAGGTAAGTCCTTACCTTACCTTTAAAGTTTAAATGTCAGATGGGGTTTTTTGCGCATGCGCAAAGATCGCCATTCTGTGGATGGCTGCCTATGCACATGCTCAAACTGAGGTGTTGTTTTTTGTTTTTTTTAAACACCGATGCCCGCTGCGTGTGGACGGGCATACAACGATGGGCTCCGCAGACAGGAGGTGAGTGTGATCGCATTTCAGCTGGCATAAACTGCACCAGTTCCAACCGGTACAGTTTATGCCGGCTGAAACGCCCCGTCTGAACGCACCCAAAGTGTTTTGAACATAAAGGATCATTTCCTCTTATGGACAAGAGTAGACTGCCAACACCAAGCTGCAACTTATCAGTGGACTATAATTTGCATTCCTATTGCAGCAGCATCACTTTCCAAACTGCTACATATTCTCAATACCTTGGTTCATTTCGGTATGTAGAAACCAAAACACATGGATGGGCATGATTGGCCAGGAATAGAAAATCCCTGCACACTTTAAAGAACGGAAGAGCAGATGGGTCTGGTTAGAACATTCCCACCTGCCTCTCTGGCACAGAACCATTACATAGGTAATTAGCAGCAAATCTACCCCAGGGCATTTAAGCAGCACATCTGATATAATGCACTTGACTTCTGGCATATTTGTAAAGTATCTTTACAGCTATGTTCTGAATTTATATTATTTTAAGAGGAAAAAATCCAGCTGGAACTCAAGGTACCAGATGTTGGTCATTGAGAAGGTGCACAACTCTTGAAGTCCAGTCCCCCATAGGAACCAAGTCAGGAGAAGTCCTGTATAATCGTAGCAAGCACAGGGCTGCACTCTGCTTCACGCTGTCCATCGTATCTCTGCAAGAGAAATGAAAGCGTTTTACCACAGTAGAATTAAAAACACTCTGCATTTGCACCGAGTTTTGAGGTGGATGTTGAGCTTATTTACAAGATTAAAAAAGAAGAAGGAATCAATCTGTCTTTTCTGATGAAGGCCTTGAGATTTTCCGTAGCATTTAAAATATTGACTTGATACATATGTCAAAGTTCCTCTAAGAAGAGAGCCGGTTTGGTGTAGTGGTTAAGTGCGCGGACTCTAATCTGGGAGAACCGGGTTTGATTCCCCACTCCTCCACTTGCACCTGGCTGGATGACCTTGGGCAAGCCGTAGCTCTGATAAGAGCTGTCCTTGAAAAAGAGCAGATTCTGTCAGAGCTCTCTCAGCCCCACCTGCCTCACAGGGTGTCTGTTGTGGGGAGGGGAAGAGAAAGGAGTTTGTAAGCCGCTCTGAGACATCTTTGGGTAGTGAAGGGCGGGGTATAAATCCAATCTCTTTTTCTTCTTCTTCTAAGTGAAATCACTATTTTTTGTTAATGACTGTACTTTGTGGATTGAACCATTCATTCATTTTATTGTATTTAGTATCCAGAATATGACAGGAAGCCAGATAGTTTCTCACTAAAACTAAACCAAAAGCAGCATAACAGGAAGTACTTGGTCTAAGCATCAAAAACGTAAATCTTAAATACAAAAAGGCTTTTATCCTTGGCCCAGTGCAGAAATCATGTTTCCTGCAGGGACATGCCACAGGCCGATGGGCTCTCTCCCCCTTTCACCTTGCAAGCTCCCATAAATAAACCACAGTCTTCCATGTTATCTGAATCAGGCACATTATGGTTTGTGCAATGAAAGGAGAAGAGAAGAAAGCATAGTGCAAAATGGAGGAGAGAAGAGAGACTAAGGAATGTTCCCAATTTTTCAAACTACGATTTGGAGGATCAGAAATCTGGAAAGCCAGAACCAGGAAAGGCCCTTACAGAGATACTTAAAGCAAACTAATTCAAGGAAGGGCATATGTCCACAGGTTTGGACACTGCAGAAGGGGAAGCGAACAATAAACAGCTTTATTTTAATTCTTTATGACATGCCTTTCCACAGAAAGTGCTCACAGCAGATTACAGAACGTAAGTTAAGATGTGCGAAGCAAAAATCTTAATGCACTGGAAAGAGTCAGACAATCCGTAACGAAGTTAGAAAAGGGGAGAATTAAGAACGCAACACATTGAAATCAAACGGCACCTTTTCAGGAATAAAAGAAGTCCCATGCTATCCCATTTTTCAACAGAAAAGAACGCAGTTCTCGCCTGGAAGCCTTTGTCTAACACAGAGCTACTAAGCAAACAGGCTGTTCACCTAGAAGATGTTTACCCAGGTTCCAAGACTCAAATGTACTGCTCTCCTACTGTTAAGATCTGAAATCCTCACGGTCGGGGTCACAACATCGGCTGGTTATTCCAGGCCCCAGGGATGCCAGGCTCGCTGCGACCAGAGCTAGGGCCTTTTCAGTGGCGGCTCCTTACTGGTGGAACGAGCTCCCGGAGGAGATCAGGGCCCTGCGGGATCTTATGCAATTCCGCGGGGCCTGAAAGACTGAGCTCTTCCACCAGGCTTTCAGTTAGGAGCCGCCCACTAATACCACCAACGACCACTATTACGATCTGTGGCATAGGCCGGGTTGCAGTGCGATCGCGCCGCTGCCGAGTGGGATGTTCTGGCCCTATATGGCACGCCATCTTGCCTCAAACGTACTGTGAGCACTTTAATTTGTAGAGTGTAATTGACTGATTGTTTAACTGGCTTTATTGTAACTGACTGATTATTTGACTGGTTTTAAATGTTTGTATGAATCTTGGCCCAGTGGGCCAAGTAATGTGAGCCGCCCTGAGCCTGCTTGCAGGGAGGGCGGGCTAGAAATACGACAAACAAACAAATAAATAAATGTATCACTTACCCAGCTACAAGTATTTTTGGAATCTCGCCAGCAAATGCTTCTGCCATCTCTCTACTGCCCACGTTGGCAATACAGTGCAGAGCTAGCCCCATGAAAGTGGGGTTGCGGCTGGCCAGGTCGTTCTTGATAGCATTGTTTATCAGGCGTATCAGCTCACTGTTGGAGTTCACAAGTACGGAGATGAACAGGTATCCCTGGAATTAAGAGTAGCATTAGCGTGCTTGTGCGTACGTGCGCTTATGCAGTATCCAATTAACAAAAAGCTCCTGTCTTGTACCACGGGACAAGATTCATCGCTAAGTTCTGACTCAAAGGGAGATATGTGATAAGACTGCTGGTTCCCGATTCAAATGATTTAGACAAGTGGGATTAATGCTTCACCAGCGTTCAAATTCAGACATGTCGGTATAATGCAACAGGAGTATTATACTGGCTAGGAAAGAGACAGCCTTCGGCGTGAAAAGAAAGCACATCCGGATGCAAAAAGGCGGCTGATCCTTAGCCACAGCTGCATCTTACCATGGTTTTGTCTCCCAGGACTAGCTGGGGGGGGGGGAGAGCAACTAAAGAGAAGCTGCCGTGGAGAAAGTACCCTGATGGACTCGTGGGAAGTGTGGCCCTTTAGATTCCAGCCAACACGTTTCAACAATCATCACAGCCAAGATACATCAGATTCTTCACTAATTTTTAGAAGAACACAAATATATATCATTGCAGTGAGTTTAGCTGCATATGCCATGATTTGAAAGGTGTGGCCAACCCTCGTGCTGCTTATTTCCTTTTTAAGAAAGGGGGAAATTCAAGATACATCAGATTCTTCACTAATTTTTAGAAGAACACAAATATATATCATTGCAGTGAGTTTAGCTGCATATGCCATGATTTGAAAGGTGTGGCCAACCCTCGTGCTGCTTATTTCCTTTTTAAGAAAGGGGGAAATTC